TGATGATGATAATGATGGTGATTATGTTGATAATGATGATAATGATGGTGATGATGGTGATGATGATGATGATGGTGATGATGATGGTGATGAAGATGGTGATGAAGATGGTGATGAAGATGATGATGATGATGGTGATGAAGATGATGGTGATGATGATGATGGTGATGAAGATGATGATGATGATGATGTTGATAATGATGGTGATGATGATGATGATGGTGATGATGATGAAGATGATGATGGTGATGAAGATGATGATGGTGATGAAGATGATGATGGTGATGAAAATGATGGTGATTATGATGATGATAGTAATGATAATGATGGTGGTGATGATGATGGTACCAGGATAATGGTGATGATGATGATGGCGATGGAAAAGACTCAGTAGAAGGAAAACAAAAACTTTAAGCAAAAAGAAATGTCTTCATTCTCTCAACAACTATACACTTTTGATATTTCCAGGACAATATTCTCAACTCAATGTATCAGCTATGGATACTAGGAGCACTAGACAACACAGGCGCACTAACTCCACTAGGAAGACAAATGGTAGAGTTCCCTCTGGACCCGGCCATGTCAAAGATGCTGATAGTCTCTGTGGACATGGACTGTAGTGATGAAGTACTGGTACGTCAAAAATAGATGAAAGATTATATTTATTTGTCTCACGATTGTAGCAGTTAAGCCCAGTAACACGTTGAAACGTTTAGCTGAAACTAGAGTTCAACGGTGTTGTGAGACAAGTTTCACGGGGGTGTTAAATTGCGCAATTTGACCTTGTTGGAACTTTCGTCGCGAGAACGTTTTAGGAAAACGTTGAACAGCTTTCTACTCGTGCAACCGAAACTTTCGTCAAGTTTCAGGAGGAAATAGCGCAGCGCACTGATTCTAAAAATAGCTTAAAGATTCGCACCAACATTGCATTTTGTTTAACCGCTACGAGGATTATACGAACCGATTTTATTATTTTTACTTAAAGTTACAATAATAACCCATGTAAACTAAGATCAACTGCGATCGGCTGTGAAAATTATCTGCTGAAAGTAAACTTGTAAGTTTGTTTGTCCGAATTTCGCCTTTGTCTTCGTTTTTGTGACGTCACGGCTGCGCTGCGCTATTGCGCCTTGTAACTCCCCCACACCTCCCCCCCCTGAATCTTCTCTCGCAACGCCGTTGAACACAAGTTTCATTTTAAAGTTTCAACGTGTAACAGGGCCTTTAGGTGGACCGCGACGTTTCGACTACTCTTTCTAGTCTTTATCAGGCGACGGTGGACTGGAAGGTGGTCTTCTTATATACCGTCAGTCTGCCCCCGCTTGAGGATCGCGCCGGGGCTGTGATTGGCTGACGGTGCCCATTACTCCACTGCGCTGAATGACTAATAATTAGATTAGAAACCAGTATAGAGATTTTGCACCATCACGTGACGGCAGCCATGTTGAATGACAGGAACAATACAATCGTTTTACATAAGAAAGAGTTCAATTCCCAAGCGCAAAGGGATTTTATTGTTCTGCCATCTAACCATAGGCAGCCCAAGCTATACTATGCATGGACGTGGGCACGTGATGGTACCAAAACTCTATTCGTGAACCACCACCTTTTTGCTCGATATTTTACAAGGCAGTCATATCTTTTTGGTATTACTACAGACAATAGTCTCAATGCTGTCTGTGCCAGCGATATTCTATCGTCCCAAAGGAAGAGAAGAGGACAGCGACGCAGCTCGTGAGAAGTTTGCCGTGCCTGAGAGCGACCATCTGACGTACCTGAACGTCTACCTGCAATGGAAAACAAATAAGTATGGCCAAGAAATCGAAACTTTTATTTACACAAGTGACGAATAAATTTGTTAGATTTGTATAGGAAATCTCGAATACAATTCGGAATTTATAGGTACGAGTGATGTTTTGAAAGATTTCAAAATTGGACGAGCCGTTTGGGCGAGTTTAATTTGAGAACTTTCAAAACATCACGAGTATCTATAAATTCCGAATTGGACGAGAGGATTGTGCGATTTTTAGTTTATAATACACTCAACAAAATTGGGCAACTTAATTGGGACTTTACAGAGTACAATTTGGGATTCCAATCAGAATCGAGTAACTTTGTAGAGTGTATTATAAAATACACAATTTGATGTTTGTATTTTAAAGAGATTCGTGTTAATAGAGAAATTTTGCATTTTTTTATTTTAACGAAATTCGTGCTAGAGTGCATACCATATATTTGTGAAAACCTTTGTAAGAAATTCTTGCACAAACCTGCACAAATTAGTAAGTTCAGTAAACTGTAGACCTACAAAACTTTGCACTAATTTGTACAATTTTGTTAGTTAACTTTTTCTCGGATATATTGTATCCATTTTACCATTGTTTTGCTATCCATATATTTTCTCTCAAATTGTTGAAATGATTATTAATCTATTTTCCTTTCTATTCTTTTTTTCCAGTTATTCAGCTCAGTGGAGCAACGAGCATTTCATTCATGTCAAGGCCATGAGAAAGGTAAGATCTATCAAGAGCTGTGTAAGACTCATTTAGAAACTATCATAGCGAGCAGTGAGTAAGAATTATGAATTAGGAGCCAATTTGGGAAAAATTGATGAATCAAAAAAGAAAAAAAACTTGCTTGCTGTGCTGTGCGCGGTTATAAAGCACTTGGGGATTGGCAGATCACTTGAGAAGTTTCAAGAAGCAATCCGCTACGCGTCGTGCTTCTCCTAACACTTCTCTCGTGTTCTGCCAAACCCCGCGTGCTTTATAACTACACACAGCACGCGCGCGTGTTTTGTATTTCTTCAATGGTTTCAGCAGATTTAACATCACTAGGCGAAGAGTTCCGTAAGAATGGATAGCATAAGCATGAGAGTGTCTGCCCATAGCCAATGCTCTGCGACTTTGCGACTCCCAAACTGTGTATCGTATACAGCTATTTCGAATAAGATTGGTGAAGGTTTTGTTGCATGTCGCATGTTGCGCGTTGCTTGTTGCGTGTTGCATATGTTGCGTGTTGCATATGTTGCGTGTTGCATGTTGCATGTTGCGTATTGCATGCATGTTGTGTGTTACCTGTTGCATGTTGCGTATTGCATGTTGCATGTTCCATGTTGCGTATTGCATGTTGCATGATGTGTGTTGCTTTTTGCATGTTG